TGATGAAGAAGATGGAAGATCTCCCTCTTCAGAGACCCGAACGAACTCCAGATCTGGCCTCCCGATGAAGAAATGGAGGTGGCGGCAGCTCCCTATTGTAAAACGCAACGGAACTTCCTATCTGATTTTTTCCTCGGGAAATAGGAATTTATAATATACAGGTTAGGGTCAGCGGAGCCTCGTGGGCCCCACTACCCACTAGGGCGCGCTAGAGGGGGGAGGCGCACCCTGGTGCCTAGTGGGCAGCAGCCACCCCCCCCCCCTCCGGTGGGTCTTTGCTCCAGTATTTTTCTTTTATTCCAAAATAAATCTCCAAAAAGTCCCATCCAATTTCGAGAACTTCTATTTCTGCACAAAAATAACACCATGGTAGTTCTGCTGAAAACAGTGTCAGTCCGGGTTAATTTCATTCAAATCATGCAATTTAGAGTCCAAAAGAAGAGCAAAAGTGTTTATATATTTGGACTCTGTTTTCCTTTTGTAGCATTTGGACTCCGTTTGGACTTATTTTCTTTTTGGAATCCAAAGTCAATCTTCTTTTTGTACCATTTGGACTTTGTTTGGACTGATTTTCTTTTGCATAACATGTTCCAAAGTCAATCTTCTATTTTCTTTTTGTAGCATTTGGACTCCATTTGGTATTGATTTTCTGGAAAATCAAAAACAGGCAAAAAAATAACAACTGGCACAAAGCACTAGGTTAATAGGTTAGTCCCAAAAAATAATATAAGATAGCATATAATTGCACAAAAAAATCCAAGATTGATACTATAATAACATGGAACAATCAAAAAAATAGATACGTTGAAGACATATCAGAACCCCAATGCGAGCGCCCGTTAGATCCAGCGACAGGTGTTGAGGCTGACCTCCGCTATCAGGCAGAGTTGCACATGAAGCTGCAGCGGGATCTAAACGTGCGAGAGTGTGAGCCTGGGGTTTCCCTATAGCGTGGTTCAAGGAGCAGGAGCGGCATAAGGCAGACGCGGCTTCTAGGGCACCGACAGGTGGATGTTCCTTGATCTTCCTTTTTGCTTGAGAGAGAGGGCGTGCACCGCCGCCTACCAGTGTGAGAGTCTGGCTTAATACGAATGATAGACTACTCATATCAACAAGAAATTATTTCTCTTTTGGGAGCCCATTCAAAAGAACTCCAAAGTTAAGTGTGCTCAGCTTAGAGCAATTTCAGGATAGATGACCGACATAGAAGTTGGTCCCAGGTGCGCACAAGTGAGGACAAAGTGCGCAGAAAGACTAGTGTTGCTATGTGAGGCTAGTCTAGATCCCGCCAGGAGTAACAACCAGTAACCGGCGGGTGTTTTTGGGGCATTACAAGTTGGTATCAGAGCCGACACTTGTGGTTTCACGGATGTTTGTGGGTTAGGTGTGCGGTCATATTGTGCATGACATTTGTGGCTCATTGATACGTCTCCAACGCATCTATAATTTCTGATTGTTTCGTGCTATTATATTATCATTTTTTGTATGCTTTATATGTTATTTTATATAATTTTTCTGGACTAAACTATTAGTTTAGTGTCTGGTGTCAATTCCTGTTTTTTTGCAAGTTTTGATTTCGCAGAAGATCCACATCTACAGAAGTCCAAACACGATGAAAACTTACGATGATTTTTTATGGAGTATATGTAACACTAGAAGCTTCAAGAGGGAGCCAGAAGTGGGCGGTGGGCCCCACAAGCCCGGGGGGCGCGCCCTAGGGGGAGGCACCAAGTTGGCTTGTGGGAGCAGACCTAATTCCTAACCTATTATTTCGATATTACTATCCACAAAAATCTTTACCTAATAATAAAGCAAATTAGGTTTCTGTTGTACGTCGTCGGCGTTTTCGCAAAAAAGTCCCTGCTGTTGTAGTTATTCAACCCGCAGTCCTCGTGATAAGTCAGCCCGAACCGGTACGAAGGAAAAAAACAGTCGCGCCTCTGCCTCTCCGCGCTCTGCCCCGCCTCCTGCTCCCCCGCCTCCTGCTCCGCCATCCGCCTCCTATCCCGTCCCGCCTCGCCGCGCTCCGGAAGGCGCCTCCTGCATCGCCCCGACTCACCGTGCTTCGCCGGCCGCCTCCTGCCCTGCCTTGCCTCGCTCCGCCGACAGCCTCCTATCTCGCCGCGCTCCACCGGCAGCCTCCTGTCCCGCTCCGCCGGCCGCCTCCTGCACCGCCCCGCCTCAGTCTCACCTTGCTCTTTTACACCTAATATGTCAATTTTTATACATCGGCAGCCTTGCTGCATCACAAGTCAATAAGCAGAGACGAGAATAGAGCAAAGAAATTAATCCAGCAAGCGGCTGCCTCCTGCCCTGCCTCGCCTCGCTCCGCCGGCAGCCTCCTATCTCGCCGCACTCCACCGGTGGCCTCCTGTCCCGCTCCGCCGGCCGCCTCCTGCACCGCCCCGCCTTAGTCTCACCTCGCTCTTTTACACCTAATATGTCAATTTTTATACATCGGCAGCCTTGCTGCATCACAAGTCAATAAGCAGAGAAGAGAATAGAGCAAAGAAATTAATACAGCAAGTGGGAAGAGTGATTCAAGGAATAAAAAAGTTCCTCGGTAATAGGAGGTTACAATCCGCAGACCGGCACTCTCCCGTCGGCGAGGGACGGGCCTGGGACGGTGGACGTCGGGCGCTACCATCGTTGCCCTCACGCATGGAGGTGAGCCAGAGAGGGGGTGGCGGTGGCAGATGCAGGGGGGCGGGCACCAACGGCCGACGAACTAGGAGGGAGGAGGAGGCGGCGGTGGCGCGACAACGCCCGGGTGTGGTGGCGGCGACAACAGCCACTAAGGCCCCTGCGTGTGCGCTCCTTGCATGACCTGGCCAAGGGAAAAAGAAAGAACTGAGAGACAGTGGATGAAGGGAGGAAGAACGAGAGGTGCTGCCCTGTGTTGCTCCCTGATTAGACCTGGTGTTGAGCGCGTGCGGAGGAAGGGGGAGGAGGAGGAGGAGCTCAGTGGTGTGTGTGGCCTCGGTCCGAAGGAGGAGAAGGGGTCTGGATCGAGCTTGCACCGCTACCACTGGGCAGAGAAGATAGGAAGGGAATCGAGGATATGCTGAAGAATATGTGGTGGGGAGAGACGAGGATGAGGGAGGACAGCTGAGAAGATAAATAGCTACTTTTTTTTGAACATCAGATAAATAGCTACAATGCGTGGCCTCCTACAGGACAACGATGCGTAGAGCCAAACGGCACGTGTCGCCTGAACGAGACACATGGTTTGTGTACAGTCGAGTTGTCTTCCTGGGACACCAGAGCGGGCTGGATGGGACATCGATGTAAAAAAAAGAAAATAAAGGACTGTAGTGGACATTGGAATAGACTTGGTAATATATAACTCAGGAGGGACACGCTCCTTTACCCATCAAATCCTTTGATTCTCTACTAATATACGTTTTCCTTTAACTCTTTTCCTTGAAGTTAGATTTGCATTTGTTTATGTTTTTGACTGATTACATAGGCCAGGACACACATGACAGCAACATTTATGCTTGGACACCTAATGAAGTAAATACAAAAATTATCTTCTGGCGCCGCTGATTCCGGTTTATACGAGTATAATAAATCAAGTACACCAAAACATAGGCATTTACATATCATGGCCACATGGTCTTTAATTGCTCTCAATAAAATTGTTGTTCTCCATCAGTAAGAAGATGCCATGCTTGACATCTCTGAAGATGTTTTTTACAGAAGTCTCTGAAGATTGTTATGTTGAAGGTGGTACGAAGAAACGATGCAACCATCTTATACATCCTTTTAACCCGAACATTGATGCCATGAAGAAACAAGAACAATTTCATCCAAATAAAATTACTTTGAAAGTGTTGCATGTACGAGATTTTTTTTTTGTTTGATAGCACTGCAATGGTTAATTTGCCTGCTTTCTAAATATGTTTGACAGCACTGCAATGGTTACTCTGGAAGTGTTGCCTGCTTTCTAAAATGCTTATTAAATATGCAAAATATGTTCGCATAATTAAAAAATGATTTATACAGTCAAACAAATGTATGTTCCATTTTAAATAATGTTTCATGAGTTTCCAAAATGACATTGTTGAAAAATGTATACAATGTAAATAAAATGTTTGTACAACCATTAAAAAAATTGTACATGACAACTGAAAGAAAATTTTTGGAGATTCATAAAACATTTGTGACATTTTAGAAAAAACATACAATGTAAAAAATAATGTTCCCTTAGGTTTAAAAATGTTTATTTGGATTAAAAATATACAACTTCTATTTGGAAATATATTACTGTATTCGTAAAAGTGTTAAAAAGATGTACTGAAAAAATGTATATTATGCATTTGATAATTTTCCAAAGCATATCATAAAAATGTTTCACATGTGCTTAAAAAAATAAAACTGAAAAGAAACAAAAATAAAATAAAAAACATAGAAAACAATAAAGAAACAAAAGAAAGGCAAAAGCATAATTAATAAATAAATAACGAAGATAAACAATTAGAAAACAAAGAAACCAAAGCAAAATGAAGAAAAAATGGAAAACTGAAGAAAACCAGTGTAAACAACAAATAAAATCAAAGATAAAAAACAACTAGAAAACCAGACCTACACGAACCTACAGCGAAGAAAATAATAATAATGAGAAAACAAAAATCAAAATGAATAAATAAAGGAAAAGCAAACAAAACCGATGAAAAAACATATATAAAACCGAAGAAAAAAAAGAAAATGAAGAAGAAAAAAACAGGGAAAACCCGACAGTGCGGAGGGAAGGAACCTCGCTACTGGGTGGGTCGGCCTCTACAGCGCGCGCGTGATGCTTTCGGCTGCATTAAGAAGAACCATACATCAGGTGGGCCGGAGATCTGGGCCCGTACCTTTTTAAGCCCAAAACCGATAAGAGCCCAGCCATTGTATATAACCCAACCTGAGGAACGCCCCCGCTCCTCAACGCAACGGTCCAATCGACGAGTTTGAAACCTACCCTCTCCCCAACGGTCGGCTTCGGAGCGGCACACATGGCGGTGGCGGCGGCGGCGGGAGACCTGGCGGTGCTTGACGCGGAGACTCTGGCGCTGCTGGGGGGAGGGCCCGATATGGCGCCGGTGGCCGTGTGCGGCGAGTGGGAGACCTTCAAGGAGAACGTGCGGCCGCTGAAACGCGGGCGGAACGTCGGCCTCCTCAACCAAGCCCTCAAGGCGCACACCGACCCCGCCCAGCGTGCCGCCCTCCTCGCCGAACGCAGGTACGGCTCTTTCTCAGCACGGACTTTCGTGGTTCTTGGATTTTGTTTTTATTTTACTTTCTGGCCCGGGTTTCTTGGACAAGTGTCTGATATTCTTGCTTGTACGGTGTTTGATGAATTGACTGATCCAGGAGGATGATCGAAGCAATAGAAGAGTGCCAAGGGGAAGATCCGCTCCAGCCATGGGTAGAGTAAGTTCTACTTGATCCATCCTCCCCTTTCTGCGCATGGTTTCTTCGATGGAACTAATCAGGAAACGCTAGCTGGAACTTGGAGTGCAAAGGTTGCTCCTTGCATCGATTTCTACAAGCTCGGTGCTCATAGCTCCTCTGCTCCGCTTTGCCTGTGTGCAGCTGCATCAAATGGGTTCAGGAGTCGTTCCCGGCCGGCGGGGAGTTCTCAGGGCTGGTCGTGATCTACGAGCAGTGTGTGCGTGCATTTTGGCACGATGAGCGGTACAAGGATGATCTCCGGTACCTCAAAGTCTGGTTAGAATATGTGAGTTGCTGACTGGATTCGGCTTGATCTATTTTGTACTTCCGAAGCGTGTATATTTGACCTGCAGTTTGGTTTGCAGGCTGGGAACTGTTCGGACGCTGAGGTGATATTCAGGTTCCTGGAGTCCAACCGGATTGGTGAGGGCCATGCTGTTTTCTACATTCGCTATGCATTGCTAATGGAGTCGAAGAACAAGCTTAAGAAAGTTGACGAGATCTTTAATCTTGGAATAGCTAGGTGAGATTCTTCTTATGAGACACTGGCACTTCTATGTTCCAAAGGTTCCCGGATTTGGGATTACTTTGTAGATTCAAGCCCCTGTAAAAATATGTCTTGCAGGATGTATTAGTTTACTAAGACCAATTGTTAATTTCGTCTAAAAATATCAATTGTTAATTTGATAGTCTGAGAGTGTCGGTGTAGATATTTGTTACGTATTAGTTTCCAGTCTGCGAGCGATCTATCCTAAATTTCTTGGAGTCCTGTGTTTTACTGTTCTTTCGGTCTAGATCATATGCACCATTACACACTTTACCTCATCTCTCTTCCACTAACTATGCAATTGCGTATATAATTGACTGAGCTGGTGAAATTTTATCCTTGGGTTGTTCATTCTTTTTCAATCAGGAAAGCAAAGCCTGTGGAGAAGTTGGAAACTACATACAGGGCATTTCTTGGGAGATCAACCAGAAAGAAGGAACACGAGGTGCTCTATTTGTGATTGCGACCTCTTTTTTTTTTTCTGATCTCCACTCTTTGTTGAATCGTTTATTATCTCTTGTAATAGGATGATACCGCAAGTGATGATCCGCCCGTACGCAAATTCGGTAGTGACTTGAACCGTGGTGAAACTAGTAAGTGTATTGTGCTATACTGTCGTTCAGCGTAAAATTCAAGTAACTGGCTGGGTATAAACTAATCCTGAATTTGATGTGGCAGGAGGTCAGCATGCAGAGAATTCCCACATGTTGGCAAAACCTAGGGTAAAGCTGCAAAGGTTAGTACCATTAGCATGTAATCAAACAAGGTATCTAGCCAAACCAGGAGGGTTTCTTGACTAACACTGATTGTATTGGCACATTCGCAGAATCGATGTTAATACACCGATTTCAATTTACAAAGAGAACCCATTGCCAAGTCAGGGCCTTGAGAGAGCTAGGAGCAAAGACAGGGCGTGGAACACCCTTGGAACACAAGCAGATAGAAACAAAGAAAATAACATGATGCCTGCCAGATGGACCTCGCACAAGGTATTTTTGTGGAGCCACTAGAATTCTTTAAAGAACAAATTCAGATTACTTCCGTGGTAGTGATACTTTTCTGAAGGGCGGACTACTATCCTCTCAGTAAATTTAATTTGAGATAATGGAAGAGAGACTGTCATGTCCTCTTCCGTTCAGTTATAAACTGATGATGACATTTCATTGAACAGATTCCACCAAAGGTAGCAGCACGACAAGCAGTTCCGCCAGCTCGTGTCAGCTCCATTGAGGTCTTTGTAGATGAAGCATGTGCCGAGTATGTTATACGACATCCTTAAGTTATCAGTTTTATAGGAATCACTATACAAACATAAAGTGTTTCTAAATTCCCTTTCGATCATCTTAGGGAACCAGCCCCGCCTCGAGTGCCAAAGAGTCCAAAACCATCTGTTCTGAAGCTTAGGCAAGCAACAAGCAAAAACCTTAAGAAGTAAGAACAGTTTACTGCTGCACTTTTCGTTTCCACATACTATGTTTTCTTTGTCAATGTTTGACCATACTGTTTTCTTCTTTGTACAGGGAATCAGAATTGCTTAAGGAGAATCCGCTGCGCAACTTCCCGCTGAGCAGCCTTAGATAATTAACAGTAATATTGTTGACGACTTGTTTGAATCTGTTCCTTTATGCCAAATAAGCTTTAGACTCTAAAGCTTATAGATGCACCAAGCATTGTAGGCTCGAATCGATTGTTGTGGTCCGTGTACACTAGTTTGATTGATTAATCCTCATCGAGGTGAGGATTGAATAAAATCTTCAGTTTTGTCACGAATTGTTGAGGATCTTGTTTTGTTCGGATGTCCGTAAATTGCATAGAGGTTCACAAAGTAATTTGATCTTGCCAGCTTCTAGTGGCACTATCTCTTTATTTTGTCTGAATAACCAGAGATGTCAAATCGTTGTCGAGACAGCCCGATTATTTCCTAGCAAATAAAGAACCTTGAAGGCATTAGATTCTCCAAATAATACGCAAGTGCCATGACAAAACAAAACGTGACTTGATGCAAGTGGGTACATGACACATTGGATCAAGCTGCCATTGGCAACAGCTCGCATGACCTTTGTTTGCTCGTATAAAAATTAAAAAGCATGATTTTCGTCCATGGATCTCTATTACATTGCTGCAAACTTTCTCAGGTCCTGTCAAGGCCCACAACAGGGTACAGAAGAAGAAGAAGGCGACGAAACCGATGCCATCATTGTTGCCATTTGGGCCTTGCTTCCTGAAGGGTCTTGATGCATGCAGGCAGGCAGGACGGGACGTATCAGGCGTGTGAAAACTCACAGGCCCAAGATTCTGAATAATTTGTGTGCGTGCGCGCGTGTGTGGTTGTCCTCTTAAAGCTATTATTATTGTATACTCTCCATCTTGCTGAGTTAATTAACTATAACAAGCATGAACGAAACCGTGGAGGGGCACACGGATTTCGTTCGGATTCAGATAGCGGTGCAATCTACTCCGTACAATGCATCAGCAGCAGGCAGCAGCCCGGTACACGACAGGATCAAGGGCGCACAGCATGACATGACGAGAGCATTCCTCCGAAAGAGGATGGCGCCAAGAGAAACTTTCCAGGCGAGTAGTTTATGCAGGCGATAACGTATTAAAAACAGCGGCTCTGGCCGCACCCTTGCGTCACACAATGTCTTACTTACTGTACCACCTGACCGGCGCCATTTTCCATCCATAAGCCTTGAGCGAACGAGAAAACGACGGGCAAACACTCGGCGCTTAGCGGTGGTGCGCCTGCGCCACGCCTATATAAGAGGCCGCGCACACATGGTGGACTTTACATACACAACACAAGCTCCGCTCCGTTCAGGCCAGTAGTAGTAAAGGTACCAGGTGCAGCCACCCGATGGCGATGGTGCTGAAATCTGAGATGGGCTCTAGGCCCATATTGCAATTTCTGAAAAATCTCTAAGGGCCCATGTGGGTTATATGGCACTAGGTGTGGTGGGAAGTTTAGTCCCACCCCGGAAGTGGAAGGAGAGTTGGAGTGGTTTATAAGGGTTTCTCTTCTACATGCTATTGGAGCTTGAGAAGAGAAGAGGCCCTCGCGCACTCCTCCGCCGCCCGCCGCGTCGCGCCGATTATTTTTCATATTAGCAGTACTAGCAGTATGTGTAGATTTGTCTACTGTTTGCTTAGTACGTGCATGTTTAGATCAGAGTCAGTACGTCATCAACTTAGTCAATGCCATGCTAGTGATTTACTCATGGATTAATTTAATCGAGAAATTGCCTATTTACTCAACAATCCAAAAACCTATTATGTGTAGGAATTTCTCGGCAAGTGGTTTTGCCGCTGCACTGAAACCGGATAAGTTTACCGGTACATACTTCAAGCGTTGGCAGACTAAGACCACGTTATGGCTCACGGCTATGAACGTGTTCTGGGTCACCGGTGTCTCCACGGGAACGATTGCTCCTGAACAGGAGAAGGCGTTCAAGGAGGCTACCGTTGTGTTTCTCGGAGCAGTTCTTAGCGTGATCGGAGATAAACTGGTCGACGCATATTTACATGTGCATGTCGCCAAGGACTTGTGGGAGGCGCTCGAATCTAAATTCGGGGCCGCCGATGCAGGGAGCGAGATGTATATTATAGAGCAGTTCCACGATTACAAGATGGTTGAAAACCGTCCTGTATTGGAGCAGGCTCATGAGATAATATGCATTGTTAAGGAACTTGAGCTTCTCAAGTGCGAGTTACCGGGCAAGTTTGTCGCGGGCTGCATAATCGCTAAGCTCCATAATTCCTGGAGGAACTTTGCCACCACTCTGAAACATCAGAGGCGTGAATTCTCTGTGGAGGATGTCATTGGCCATCTGAGTGTTGAGCAGAATTCGAGGGCAAAAGACTCGCACGGAAAAGGGGCCGAAGGGACTTCTGTTGCCAACATGGTGAACCAGAAGAACTTCAACTCCCACAAGCCCAAGGGAAAAAACGGTGTCCAACACAATACCGACTTTAAGAAGAAGGGTAAGAAGACCTTCAAGAAGAACAAGAAGGACGAGGGTTGCTTTACTTGTGGTTCGGTTGAACATTGGGCCAACAAGTGCCCAAACAAGTACAAGAAGTCAGGACAGGACTCCAAGTCTGTCAACATGATTGTGGGCAACAATGAGAATGGTGCATCTGGGTACGGTAATTTATTTACTGTTTTTTCAGTGTTTCAACCCAACGATTGGTGGGTGGACACAGGTGCAGGTGTTCATGTGTGTGCTGACATTTCATTGTTCACTTCTTACCAGGTCACAGGTCACGGGTCCGTATTGATGGGGAATGGCGCGAGTGCTTCTGTTCATGGTGTTGGCACGGTCGATCTGAAGTTTACTTCGGGAAGGATCGTGCAGCTGAAGAACGTGCAGCATGTCCCCGCCATCAAGAAGAACCTCGTTAGTGGCTCCCTTCTATGTAGAGAAGGGTTTAAGTTGGTTTTCGGGTCTAATAAATTAGTTGTTACAAAATATGGACTCTTTGTTGGAAAAGGTTATGAGAGCGGAGGGATGTTCCGCCTTTCCCTCGCAGATTTTTGTAATAAAGTCGTGAACCATATTCATTTGAATGTTAATGAATCTGAAGTTTGGCATTCACGTCTTTGTCACATTAGTTTTGGTGTTATGACGCGGCTAGCCAAGTTGGATTTAATCCCGAGTTTCACTTTAGCCAAAGGTTCTAAGTGCCTTTCATGTGTGCAAGCTAAGCAACCTCGCAAGCCTCATAAGGCCGCGGAGGAGAGACACCTGGCACCATTAGAACTCATACATTCTGATCTTTGTGAGATGAATGGTGTGTTGACTAAAGGTGGAAAGAGATACTTCATGACATTGATAGATGATTCCACTAGATATTGCTATGTGTATCTGTTAAATACTAAAGATGAGGCTCTACACTACTTTAAAATCTATAAGGCAGAAGTTGAAAATCAACTTGAAAAGAAAATTAAACGAGTCCGGTCAGATCGTGGTGGAGAGTACTTCTCGAGTGAGTTTGATTCCTTCTGTGCGGAACACGGCATTATTCATGAGAGGACGCCTCCCTATTCACCCCAGTCAAACGGGGTTGCCGAGCGGAAAAACCGTACTCTAACTGATTTGGTTAACGCCATGTTAGATACATCGGATTTATCCAAGGCATGGTGGGGGGAGGCTATATTGACGGCATGTCATGTCCTGAATAAAGTTCCGACAAAGGATAGTGAGATCACTCCCTATGAGAAATGGGCAAAGAGAAGGACGACACTCTCGTACTTGCGCACTTGGGGCTGTTTGGCGAAAGTCAACGTGCCGATCCCCAAAAAGCGTAAGCTTGGACATAAGACCGTGGACTGCATTAATTTGGGCTACGCTAAGAACAGCGTTGGCTATAGATTTCTAATAGTGAAATCTGAGGTACCTGACCAGAAGATCGGTACAATTATGGAGTCTAAGGATGCTACATTCTTTGAGGATATTTTTCCTATGAGAGATATGCAAAGCACTTCTAGACAGGAATCTGAGGAGACTCCTGAACCTGCCATCCCTATGGAATATTATGAACAAACACATGATGAAAATCCCGAGGAGGATGACGAGGAAACCCTTGGTAGGGGCAAGAGACAAAGGACTGCAAAGACCTTTGGTGATGATTTCTTCGTGTACCTCGTGGATGATACTCCCACTTCTATTTCAGAAGCGTATGCCTCTCCAGAAGCTGACTACTGGAAGGATGCGGTCCGTAGCGAGATGGATTCCATCATGGCTAACGGGACATGGGAGATCACTGACCGTCCCTATGGTTGCAAACCACTGGGATGTAAGTGGGTGTTCAAAAAGAAGCTTAGGCCCGATGGTACGATTGAAAAGTACAAGGCTAGGCTTGTGGCCAAGGGCTATGACCAGCAAGAAGAGGAAGATTTCTTTGATACTTATTCACCTGTTGCTAGACTGACCACCATTCGAGTATTACTCTCGTTGGCGGCCTCACATGGTCTTCTCGTCCATCAAATGGATGTTAAGACGGCTTTTCTAAATGGAGAGCTAAAGGAGGAAATCTACATGCAACAGCCTGATGGCTTTGTGATAGATGGTCAGGAAAGAAAGGTGTGTAGGTTGATAAAATCTTTATATGGCCTGAAACAAGCACCTAAGCAATGGCATGATAAGTTTAATACAACTCTGACATCTGTTGGTTTCGTTGTTAATGAGGCTGACAAATGTGTATACTATCGCCATGGTGGGGGCGAAGGAGTTATACTGTGCTTGTATGTTGATGACATACTGATATTCGGAACAAACCTCAAAGTCATTGAGGAGGTCAAATCGTTTCTATCTCAGAACTTTGAGATGAAAGACCTTGGTGTGGCTGATGTTATCTTGAACATCAAGCTACTGAGAGATAATGAGGGTGGGATCACACTTCTGCAATCCCATTACGTTGAGAAGGTGTTGAGTCGTTTTGGATATTCGGACTGCACACCATCTCAAACACCATATGATCCTAGCGTATTGATTTGAAAGTCCAAAGGCATGGCTAAAGATCAATTGAGATACTCTCAAATCATTGGTTCACTGATGTACCTAGCGAGCGCAACGAGGCCT